ATGTTCGAAATTCACCAATTTTAAAAATCGTAATTTTCGGGGATATTTCCTCAGTTTACGAAAAACGAGGGACAGTTTTTTAATTATTAAGGTTGGTATTTAACTAGATATAATTTGTGATATTTTTATGTATTGTTGAGTGAAATCAGTCTAGTCAGAAATTAATAAAATTACCAACAGACACGAAAAAAATGAATGAAAATAAATACATCATATTAAAACTATTATTTTTCTATCTTTGCATTGAATCTAAAATATCTAAAAAAATAGTATCATAGCGCATAATAATTCTCATTTTTTTATTTTACTACAGTCAGTTTTTTAAATAAAAATAAATGTGTTTAGCGAAGAAAATTTTATCAACGAATTCTATTTACTATGATCAATATCTTTGAGTACATCCAGACATGTTCGTAGGTATTTATACCAGTGTAGTAAAAGAAATTTCAATGCAAGCACATAAAACTAAATAAGGTTAAACAGCTCATAACTTGTTTCTGTGATGACTTTCGACTTATACATAATATTATAAGTTGAATGAATTAGATTAATTTTCCAACATTTTTTACTTTGAAATTTTTTTTTTAAACATACGTCCAAATGTATGTATAATTACTAAATTTTTTTTCTTTAATTGGTAATATGAACATAAATATATAATATTCATAGTTTGCTGGGTTAATGTGTGACTTTTCATTCACACAAATACATATAGATATATTAGATTAATTGAAAACACTTATAACTTTTGATTTTTTTTGATAATTATTATCTTCTTAGACTATTTTTAAAGCAAATTTTTATTAATTAATCATTAATAAAAAAAATAACTTTGATTTTTAATTATTGTTTTAGNTTTTTATTAATTAATCATTAATAAAAAAAATAACTTTGATTTTTAATTATTGTTTTAGTTTTAAAACGGCTATTTTTTAGTTCTTTTCTTGCAAAAGTTTGATGGGTCGATAACAATTTTAGAACAAGTACTCATTTTGTTTTTAATTTTTTTTCAAAATTTTAAAATAGCCGTTTATTAAATAATTTCTTTTGAAATTAATTTTTAATGGAACAATAAAAACTTTTTGAGTACTTCGTAACATACAGGAAATGGTTGGCATAGTCATCACTGGAGCATTAAGAACTACACCAACAGTTTCATCAGAGGCACTAATTGGATTACCTTCTTTGTATCTAAAGGTTAAAGCTCAGGCCAAAGCCACAGCACTAAGATTCCACAATAGTTATCTGTACTATGAAGAGCGACATGGTAAAATACTAAAAGAGACAGTCCAGAGCATTTTAGAATACCCCTTGGACCATATCAAACCGGTTCTTAAGAATACCATTCTCTACAAAGTGGAAATCACTACACGTAGAGAATAGAATATTAAACACATGACATAGAAAGGTAAGTGGTGGAATTTGGGGTCTAAAACCTTAAATAAATGTCAGCGTGTCAATGAGCACAACACCTTCTAATTTTCAAGCAGAGATGATGGCGATACTAGTGGGGGCTCAGAACCTGCTGGTATACAAGAAAAATAAAATGACTATTTTAAGTGATAGTCAAGCGGCTCTGAAAGCACTCTGTAACGATCAGGTGAATTTAAAGCTTGTCCTCAAATGCAGGGAAAGTTTAGAAACACTAACGAGAATATAGAGATACACTAGCATAGATACCAGGACATAGTAGTATCACTGGTAATGTAAAGGCCGACTTTTTAACTGGAAATAAAGTAGAGAACATCTATGTTGGGATAGAACTAGTAGTAGAACTCACTGACCAATCGCTTAAAGCGCTACCTAAGAATTGGTGCAGAATACAACATAGAAAAATCGGGAAATACTTGGTAGTACCTAAACAATCTAAAATATTTTTCAAAACCCCCGATTCACTGGTACCCACATAGCAATGAAATATTTCTATAATGTTTATTTTTGATATTAAAATGTTTCTAGAATGTAACCAGAATATTTTGAAATATTCTCACAATGTTGTCAGAATATACTTTGGCAGCCAATATTATATTCTTACAATATTTTAAAGGTATATTTCTAAAATATTATTAAAAAAATGCAACTTTATATTATATTTAGATTATATTCATAAATTTTTTTGAAAATCGGCGATCTCATCATTGTAACCTCTCCTTGTAAGTTAGAAATTGACCTATATAATTGGTAATATGAAAACATATTCTAACTATAATAAAAAAACTTTTTAGAATTTTAAGTTTCACAGGACAATAATAAGATATAATCGCGCTGATAAATTAAAAAAAATTTTAACTCGATAGGGCCTGCAAATAATAGCAACAGGGTTTTTTTACTGTCCCTGACTTACTTAGCTTAATTGAACGAGGTTAATTAAAATTGATACTAATTAGAGAATACGGTTGTGTACTTATTAAGAATTTAGGAATATGTATATATAATACATAAGTATTATATAACTAGTTATCAATAAAGGGGATGGCTTGCCTCTCTTAAGTTACCTCAGTTTGCCATAGTGGTGAACACAGAAATTAAATTTAGGAGGGGGGGTTTGAAATTTAAAAAAAATTAGATGTGACACTGCCCATATTATTCGTTCACAAAAATTCCTGTTTTCGATTACTTTATTGTGAAAATATTTATAGTATATGATCTTTTTTAGCATGACTACACATCATATAAACATTTATTGACAGGACATGGTCACTTGTTTAAACATTATTACGCAATGGATCTCGAAATCACCATTGTACAAGAAATGTGAAGTAGAAGAGAAAGACTCATTTCACATAATGTAAGAATGTGAAGCCTCATCCACATTAAGATCAAACTACTTTATTAAACCTTTTATCGAAAAAGAATATATCAAAAGACCCAGAGAGATACTAAACATTGCCAGAAAGATAGGACTCTTTGGGTATCCAAAGGAAGTGACTTGATTGTCCTTCCTTAATACAATGATAGATATAAAGTAATTACATTTCGGGGATAACACTTCGGCGTGTAAACCGAATCAAGACAATTCGGTGTGAGATTTAAACAATGGAACAACAGGTCAGAGTGAATGGGTATTATGTCCACCTCACTTGTAACTAAAATTAAAACCACAAAGTTACAAACATTTTATTAAATTAGGTGATATATGCATTAAAAATAAACACTAGTACGATCTATACTTTCACATTATAATAATAATAGCTAGAGTATTGTTTTATTAACAACTAATTTGCATAATCAAATGAAAATACAATATTTTCATGTATTTTGAAAACTAAAATAAGTTATTTAAATGAAATAAATATATATTTTTTCCATTTCAATAGTTAATAAATAATGTAATAATTATATTTCAATTTTTATTGTTTTTCATAGCAGTTATAAGAAAACCTTTAATAAAAAATTTAGAATAAGTAGGTAATAATTATTTATTTCATATTATTTTAAATGGAGAT